GCAGCCCTGGCCACGCCTCGGTCCCGACCTGGGTGACACATGGCAGGTAGGCTCTGCCGCGCCACGGTGGGGGCCTCGGCTCGGAGCCTCGACTCGGGGCCGCGGGGCGCGGGGCGTGGCCGCCAGCGGTGCGGTGCCTCCGTGGCTCCGCGGCTCCGCGTGGCGCTGGCTCCAGTAAGCGGCCCGGTGCGTGCGCACTCTGCGAGCGCGAAGCCACCGCACTGTCACCTGACCTCCGCTCCGGAAGGCGACGCCGTGGCGTGGGCGGGGCGGCCTCGGGGCGGCCTCGCACGACCACGACGGCATTCATTAGGGCGAGCCGGAAGAAGGATTGCAAGGCTGCAGCGGGCCCTTGACGTGCTGCTCAGGCGCCGTCATCTGTCGCGGCGAGTGCAGAGAGGCTCGCCGACGACGAGTTCTTTAACTGCGCGTTAATTCCCCATGCTGGCTGACTAAGCCGCCGTGTCACGGAAGAGTCGGATCAATGGGATATGGCGTCGTTTCCTTTGCGGCGTGGCGGCATGGCGGCGTGGCGGCCCCTCGGGCTTCGGGTGGCCCGCCGCCAAGGCCACGCCGTCGTCCAAGGACTCGGACTCCGGCGAGGACTGGGCGTTCGGCCGGCACTCTTTGCCTGGTTACTTATGTACGGGCTGCGGGCGGTGCCTCGTCGTGCTCTGTGCCTCTTGGACGACACTTGCCACGTATCGATTCACATGCCCGGCTTTGCGCGGCCAGCGGTGCCCGCGTGCGTCATTATCAACCTATGAGTTGCCTGGCCTTCATCGCGATGGCGCGGTGCGGACCTCGCCGGCGTTATCCTCAAGTGGCGGCCGCGGTGGCCCTTTGGCGGTGGCCTGGAACCCTCAACAGCCGCCGTCATCGTGGTGCTCGCCGAGGCCGTGACGACACAGCCGCAAGGCCCCGCCGTCTAGCCCTAGCCTCCACAACGCGTCCCGCTGTGCGTCGCAAAAGTGTTATGGCCCCGGGCGCGGCGGGGATTCCCGGGCCGAATGGGGGCTGCCGGCAGCACGAGTGGAACAGGGCCCGCATGTTGGCGGCGCGGCGCGGCGGCAGCGAGCGCTCCGGAATGGCTCACCTGCCAGGCAAAGGCGCGTGCGGTGCGGTGACCAACATCTATTTCTGACTTGACTCCGCGAATCGCGCCGGGCAGCGCTGGCAGAGCAGGCTTCGCGGCAACCTTATGGCGGCGCCGTGCCCACCGGGCCCCGCCGGTCCCGCCCCTGCGGCCTGCGGGTACCCGGGCCTTTGATCCAGCCAGGTCCGGGGTCGAGGCACGGGTACGGCGCGACCTCAAAACAGTCGAGTCGAGGACGCTGGGTACGTCTGCCCGTCCGCCCAGGGCCCTGACGCTGGCGCGGGTTGGCACGCCTGGGGCACGCCTGGCCCTGCCTGGGGCCCGGACTGGGTTAGCCCGCCCGCTGGGGTGTCTGCCGGGCCGGGCCGGGCTGGGGCCCCAACCGGTTCCCTCTCCAGATTCGGAGCCTGACGTAATGACGGCGTCCGGAAGGTGCCCAAGGTCCCCAAGGTCCTGTCGGCTCTCCGAGGCTCTCGTCGCGCTGCCCGCCTTTCCCCGTTCCTCGCGCGTAGGGCTTGAACGCACGCGTGTCTCGGGGCTCCGCGCTCCGCGGTGAGGCGCCGCTTTGTTTGCTAGCGGCGCCGCGGTGGCCGCCGACGCGGGCCCCATTCTAGGGTTACGCCGTCGTCGCGCCGCGCAACAACCGCGGACCGCCATGCCACCGCCGCGCGGCGTGGACCCGTGGACGGTTAAATTTCTCATCCTGCACAGGCCCTAAGAGCGCCCCGCCGAGCGGACGGCTGCAGCGGCGTTTTTCGTTTTTCTGTCCGTTTCGCAAACGGCACAGCAGCACAGCCAGGCAGCCACATGGCGTGCCGCGCGGCCCCCAATCGCACCACGGCGGCGTGCATGTGCACCGTGGCGAGCAGTGGCGGGGCTCGGTCGGCCAACGTATGGCCAGTGATAGCGGCGCCGGGGATCAGCGGCCGCTCTGATCTGAAGCGCGCCCTTTTATCGAGAGATCACGTGGGCCGCGCGGCTCCAGCCTTATTGGAGGACCGACCCTTGCGGACCCATCCGAACCCATTCCAACGCTGGCCGCGGGCGCGGCTAGAGCTTCGTAACGGCATCGGGTGGCAGTGATGTTTGTGGCGTAACAAATTATCAGGTGTTGGGCAACCCGCACAGCGCGCTGCGCGCTCAGCAAAGGCTTGTTGTCCTGTAGGCGCGGGAAAAAGTGTGAGCGTCGAGCCTCGGGCGCGCTCGGGCGCCATTAGCTGTGGCCGCCCTTTGCTTCGGCCACGCAAGGCGACCCCCTTCTTCCTTTTCGGGGAGATGTGGCGGCCTGCTCTGCGGCAGGCCGGCAGGCCCTCCTTACGTGCGGCTAGTCCTGACCGTCGGAGCGTGCCAGCGTGCCAGCGTGCCAGCAGCGTGCCGGCCGAACTGCCGGCATATTAGCCGCGGCGGTCGATGCGGCCCGCGGCCAGGACGCGGCCAGGACGCGGCCAGGACGCAAGCCGGATTGGCCACATCGATTGCTGGCTTCATTGGCGCGCCGTCACGCCGTGCGCGGCTTGGCGCGGCTTGGCGCGGCTTGGCCAGCCCGCACACGCTGATCCGGTGAATGTCGAACAACGTGGTGATGACGCGACCGGGGGCCGAGGCGGCAAGGCGGCGCGGCGCGAAGCGGCGGTCCCTGCGCCAAGAGGGTGCATCGATTGCCGTCACTGACGAGCACAGCGACGTGACCGTCCGGCCGGCCCGTTTTGAAAAATACATGCGGTCGGGTCATTTCGCCGCGGAGCGTGGAGCAGCGCGGTGCAGCGCGGAGCAGCGAGTGGACACGGACACGGTCAGCCTGGCGGCGCCGGCGACGTGTGCCGGCGCTGTAGCGGCAGGGCCGGTATGGCGTGCGCGTTGTTGACGCGGCCGCCGCCCCGTCCGCCGCCGCCCCGTCCACCGCCGCCACCGCCGCCACGGCCGCCACGGCCCCGGCGGACTCTGTTGGCCGCGACCCACTGCCCCCGAATGGGCGCGTCGCGCGTCGCGTTCATTTACCGCCGCGAGCCGCTGCCGCCTGCCGCTTTCGTTGCCCTTGCACTTGGGCAGCCCAGCCCGCCTCGCACAGCAGGTCCCGCAGGCTGGACGGATGCCTTCCCACGGCCCTCCACGCCGTGCTCCACGCCGTGCTCCACGCCGTGCTAGCCCTCGGCCGCTGCCCGGGCCCTTGGAACCCTCGAAGCCCTTGAAGGGACACGCCGGCCGGCCAGCCCCTTTTCTTGATCGGCGCTGGGAATTATTAATCAGCCGAGGACTCGAAGCGACGGCCTGACACTTGCTTAGTTCGAGTCGGGGGGAGGGGCGTCGCGCACCTCGCCGGCTTACCCGTAACGACCCCCTCGCGTGCCCCCCGCTGGACTCGACGCGCCCGGACGTCCGCCGGTTCATTTTCGACTCGCGGCCGTTTTCCACCGTTTTCCACGGTGACGTGTCGTGCCTCTTTTCGGCCCCACCTGTTCGCGTCGTTCGCGTCCTTGCAGTGTGTGCCTCCGTCGGGCCTCCCTCCAGCCTGTCGGACTGAATGGGCGGCGGCACGCGTCGTCGCCGCAGCCGGGGCCCGGTTATCGATTTGCCAGCGTCCATTTTGACGAATTTTCAAAATGCTCGCGACGTGTTTTGTGCGTCGCCGCCGCCCAGGCTCGAACCGCAGCTCCGACCGCTTGCTTCGCTTGGAGCTGCGCCATGCCACGCCGGCGGCGAGACCAAGGCGAGACCTGTCTGCCTGCATTACGGGCAGACTGGCAGACTAGAAGCGCGGTGTCGGAATGCTAGGCCTGCAGTGGCGGGGCGCAGTGCGCAGCGGAGCAGCGGCGCAGCGGGGCACTGGACTTGCTGGACGGGCCTGCTGCATGGGCATCGACCATCGCAGTGTCAGGCGGACGGCCCCGCCCCGCCTCACTCCTCCCTACGCTGCTCACCTAGGCCCAGGCCCGGGGCTAGAGTGCTGTTCACCAAGTTCGCGCAGTCGCGGCGCAAGTGCCCGTCGGCGCCTCGCCCATCAAAGTTTACCCGAACGGGTGTTCGGACCCTCTTCCTTTCGATCTGCCTTCTAGCTGGAGCGCCGCCGCCGAGACCCCGACGCTGGAAAGGCGGCCTGCGCCGCGGAAGGGCATCTGCCCGGCGAGCGGCTAACGGAACTCTAGGGCCGCTAGGGCCCCGCCGGCCGCCGGGCCGGCTCGGCTCCGGCATGCGCCCTTGCCGCGCGGCCCGGCTGGGCTTGGCGGCTCGGCTCGGTTCGGTTCGGCTCGCGAGTGCATCCACGCCAGACAGGCAGACAGGCGCAGGAGTCCTATCTTGTCCCCCTTCCACCGGGGCGTCCGCACTCCGCACGCACACCGCAGTGCCGTCAAGGAGTATCAAGGATGTCTTGGCCTGCTTTTCATTCCCCGAGATGCTATTCCGAGGTGGCTTGGGGAAGCGCCCGCCGCTGCCGACGCACGCGGCACGTGGCACGCAGCACGCGAACGCGTCCGTGGAGGCGCCGGGTCGGCGGGCACCCCGGCCGCACCGCTGTCCAGCGGGTTGCCTACCGCCGCTCGCACGGCGCCCTCCGGTGCGATAGGCTGCGGCGTCATTTTCGCTGTGCCGAAGTGCCCGGGTCGCAAGCCGGCCAGGAGGTGGCCGTTCCCGGCCAGGAGGTGGTCGCGGCCTGCCCAGCCATGAGGACGCCGCCGCCCATGCGAGCACATCTGCGTGCTGCATCGGCTGCATCGCATGGAACGTTGCATGTTTGGCGCAAATCGCATCACAGCCGTTGTCTGCAAACCAACAAGCTGCAGAGTGATTTTTGCTCATGCTTTTACGAATGAAAACATTTTCATTCATTTCAGAATCCAGTTACACTGTGCGTTCTGTGTTTGCTGTGCGTGAAGCAGTAGCTTGTTCATTCTTGAACCTGTATGCTGTCAGGTTGGCCGAGCGGTTTAAGGCGTCGGGCTTAAGTTCTGATTCCCTCTGGGATCGCAGGTTCGAATCCTGCACCTGACGATATTTTTTTGGGAGTGGCGGATGGACACAAAATCATATTTTTAGTTTGGCTGTTGCAGTTCATTAATGAGTTATGGTTCAATATCCTGCATCGTGTCAGGTTGGCCGAGTGGTTAAGGCATCGGACTAAAGATCCGACTCCCTTTGGGATCGCAGGTTCGAATCCTGCACCTGACGATATTTTTTTAGAGTGGCAGATGGACACAAAATCATACTTTCAGTTTTGTTGAGTGTTCATGGCTGTTGCAGTTTATTAATGAGTTATGGTTCAATATCCATTCTTGAACTTGTATGCTGTCACTTTGGCGGAGAGGTTTAAGGCATCGGACTAAAGATCCGACTTCCTCTGGGATCGCAGGTTCGAATCCTGCACCTGACGATATTTTTTTGAAGGGGGTGGGGTCTGGATTTGGATGTTCACAAACATTGTTTTTGAGCCAGTGGCACGTATTTTGGAAAATTTACAAAATTTGAACATTAACCGCTGCGATTAAACGGTCTCGACGCGCGATCAAAGACCAGGCAGCAAGGCCGGCCAGGAGGTAGCCGCTGCTGCCGCTGCTGCCGCTGCCCTGCCGGGAGACGGCCGCTCACCGCTCCCCCCACTCTGCGTATCAGCCCATCGGTGCGGCGGGATGCGTTATAGACGCGTCATCCGCCGAACGGCCGCGAACGGCGCGCCGAGTCGGAATGCAGTCGCTTGCAGAGCCGTCGCCGCCACACTCGTCGCCCAGACGTGGGCACCTGCATTTTAAAAGTTTAGTTCCTTCGGCTGCCTTCATTCTGGCCCCACCCTGCGCGGCACTGCACTGCAGCTGCACTGATAGGGATTAGAAGTCACCTAATGAACGCGCTGCCCGGCTCGGCTCGGCCCCCGTGGCTGGCCCGGCTCGATGGGGCGCTGCTCGGCTCGGCAGCACGGCCCGTGCTGCCCGGTGGATCATTGAGTAGGGGGGTCGATATCTGTGCTGGGCGAGCACATGCCGGCGCGGCGGCGCAGCGTCGCGGCCTGGGCAGGGACTGGGGCTTGGCTGGGGCTGGCGGGCACGGCGGGCACGGCGAGCTACTGGTGGCCGTCGTGGCCACCGGCGCGGCTCTCACGCCACTGTAACGACTGAAGAGCGCCCGCTGTTGTAGTTTTTTGCCTCGACGGCTTTTGTTCCCGGCCGGCGTACAGTGTGCTGTATCGGGGCGTGTTTGCCGAGGTTGCCGTTGCCAGCCGTTGCCCGATTAGTTTGCCTGCCGTTCTGCCGCGTGCGTGCTGGCCGGTGCTGGCCGAGCGGGCCGGGCCGGGGCCAGGGGGCCTCCACTCCACCCCTTGGCTTGGCCGGCTTGGCTAGCGGGGCGCGGCGTGGCGCCTGCGCCGGCCCGTCTGGGCCTCGGCTATTGCCCTCGGCCACCCTGCCGGCCACCCTGCCGGCCACCCCATCCACACCCTCACCTGCAGTGCCGTGACGCTGGGGTTGCAGGCGAGTCGCGCGTGCGCGCGCCGCGTGTTGTTGTTGTTGCCTTGGTTGTTGTTAGACGGTTGGTTGTTGATGTTGCCCGCCTGAGACACGGCGGACTTATTAAACAGAATGGCGTCGTTGGAATGACCGGCTAGCCGACGCACCCTGCAGACTGATTCCAAGAGTCGGTTTTTTTTTGTTTTCGCTGTCTCTCTCACACTCACACGTGTGTTCCGCATAGGTGCGAGAGAGTGTCAGAGCGACGAAAACGACTCACGGAATCTGTAAGCAGGTGGGCAGGCAGCTCCGCCACGCTCGTCGCGCTCGTCGCTCGCGCGGTCCTGGAAACGGAAAGAGACTGCGGTGAGGTCGGACCGCGGCGCCGCGGCCGGGCCGCCGGAACTGCAAAGGCTTCGAGGATCAGCGAGTCTGCCGGCGAGCCTTGCGCCTTGCCCCGCCTCGGCCCGCCTCGACTGCTCTGGCGCAGGTGGCCCAGGTCAGGCACACGCCTGAAAACAGCGCCCCTTTGTCTCGCATTCCGCTTTGAACGGCGGACATAACGTCCCATAAGGCGCGGACGGGCAACGCCGGCAACGTATGTGCAGTGGTGGGTCGCAGTGCCCTTGGCCGTGACGCGTCGTGGCGCGGCGTGGCGTGCCGCGTGGCTAATACGTGATGTATGGGCGTTGCCTTCGCGTAACCGGAACGAACGCGCCACGCTCCGAACCCTCTCTCCGCTATAACCAGGCCAAGCTCGTGCCCAAACACTCTCACACACACAGAGTCAGACACACACGTGCGGTCTATTCGGGGCTGGCCTTGGGCCACCGCACAATGCAAGTGTGCACACCACGTAAAATGAGTGCGCGGCTTGCCGGCCTGCCGGTCCGTCGCTGGCCGGCGGGTGTCGGCGGAGCTCGAACCCGCGTTCCTGGCTTCCCCGTAACTGTGACAGCCTGCTTGTGGCGGTGACGTCAGCCTGCTCCCCGCGGGCTGTACTACTACTACTACCACCCTGCAGGGCCTGCTCCCGGCCCGTCCCGGTCCCGGTGCGTGCCGCGAGGTGCGGCCGTCGCTTCGTGACGCTGCGCGATAGAGTGTATGGAGTGTGTGGGCCCCGCGCGTGCGTGTGTGGGTGAGGTCACGGCGCCGAAGTCGGGCCTGTCACGTGACGCGCCGCCTATTGTCGTCGGCGGCATGGCGAGGCACGTCCGCCACGCCACGCCGCGCGGCGAAAGGCGGCGCGATATTGGCGCGGTGTGCAGGAATCACGTAACACCGCGGCAATCGTCCGTTCGTTAGCGCGTCCTCGCGTCCGCGGCGCGGCCGGTGCAGCCGGACTGACGGACTGGCCGCGTCGTGGCGGCGCGTCGTGGCGGCGCGGCGGTGCGCGCCAGAGGTCAGGTCCACGCTGACGGGCAATGGGCGGGCCGGGCCGCGCGGGGCCGCCGCTTCGCCGCTATCGAAGCTGGTCCGCGAGCGAGGGACATTCCACACGTGGAACCAACGACGGGCCATAACGACTACACCCGGCCCACATTGATAACAATCAACGGCCAGCCTTTTCAGTCCCAAGGCCCTCCCTTTATTCACCCCAAACACCGCCGCGGTCAATATAGATAACACAGAGGTAACTTTTGTCCGGGCCTCTTCGAAAAATCGAGTGTATCGTATCGGACGGGACGTGAAGTGGGGCCCTCGTGGCTGGTTTCGCGTTGAATGTCCCTCGAGTCTGAGTCATCAACACTTGTCCGGTTCGACTCCCTCCGCCATGCGTGGCCTCTGGTTTATTTCGGTCGAGTTCCGCCCCGAGTGAGTGAGTTAGTGTGAGTGTGTCAGTGTGAGCCTGGCCAACCTTTGCGGCCAAGTGCGGCAGGGCGGGCCGGCCAGGGCACCGCGGGGTGTGTCGTTGTGCCAGGTCGTAAACAGGCTGGCGGAGGGCGGCCGGGCCCGCGATGGACGGCTCCGGACAGGACCACGCCCACGTCCATTGGCTTTCCGCGTTTGGCGGGAGGGTCGCCAGGCACGAGTACTCCCGGCCCTGCCGGCTGCCTGCTCCGGCTGGCCGGCCGGGCCGTTGTTGTTGTTTTTGTGGTTTTTAGGATCGTGCCTGTGTGGCGGCATGGCGGCGTGTCCTTGGCGCCGTCCGGTCCTTATTGCTTTCCGAAAAGCTGCTCGAGAGGGCCGAGCCGGCCCCAGAAACAGTTTTAGCTTTCAGCGCGCCGACGCGGACCGGGGCGGGGCAGAGGAGGCCCACAACGGGTCACAGTGTGCACAAGGGCCATGCGGCACGGCCTGTGGGAATGCGTTCCCGGCGCACAAACACTGACTGAAGCTGCGCGCTGCCCGGATAAGTCGTGCCGTGCCGCCGCGTGCCGCGCCACGCCGTGGGATGTGTGCTGCGCAACGGCGGCGTCCTCGCGGCGTGGAAGCGCTCCCTGGGAAACGCGCGTGCTATCAAGTCTCGGATGCGCTGCGCCGCTCACTGTTATCCATTTATTATTTTCCCCGAGGCCGTCGTCATCGCCGTCGTCATCGCTTCCCGACCCGGCCAGCAATGGCGCCGCACCACGCCACGGTTCGAAAAATTGAGAGTCACCTTGTTTATTTCTGCTTTGTTTTTTCGCCTCCGACGGTCTCGCCGGTGGCTGTGGCGCCAGAGAGCTTCGCGGAAACCCCTGCCTGGTTTTGCTGGACACGTCCTGGACCGCCGGGGACCGCTTCTTCTCCTGCGATTCTTGCGGGCGCCGGAGCCGCGTATACGTGTACTTGTGAAGGCACACGTTGCACACGGGGCGTGTCACATAGTACGTGTGTTTGTGTGCGTGCTCGCTCACACACACGCACGGTCCTTCCCGTCCCGCGCGGAGTCCGCGTCCCTCTGCTGCATGGGATGTACGGCTGCAAGGCACACGCGAAAGTGTCTCTCCTGAATACCTATGACTTCCCCCCTCCCCCAATTTTTCTGGACCCTGAAAATCTCCCCCACCCCCTCCCCCAGAGACGAAGCATGACGTCGAGGCTTCGCCGATCACCACCTTCAAATGTCGGGTCCATGTGGTTCGGTTTATTCCTAGCGCATGACGGGGTCCATGTCGGCGTCCATGTCGGGGTCGTTGCCGGGGCCATGCCGGTCCACTCCTTGTGCTCTGCCGGGCGCACTCCCTGATTGGCCCGACCCTGACACCGCGGCCCGCGACTGGCCAGTAGTGCCGCAGCCGCAGGCGGCGCCGTCCGTCCCAGAGCCTAACTCACGGAAGCGTTTCCCGCTCGATTGCTTTTTACGGCCGCCGGGTGGCGCGGCCGCCAACAAGTGCAGCACTGTGCTCGGCGGCGTGGTCTCGTCGTCGCGCTGATTGACGGACGTCGTGCAAGTCGCCATGTAACGCGTGTGCAAGGCCCCGCCAGGGCCCTGCCCCCGCCTGCCTGGCGGCCTGACGGGGTTTTTAACTCCAACAATGAACGCGGCGTTGCACGGCAGAGGCCCCCGGCGACCCGGCTTGGTGCGCAGCCTCGCCGTCAGCGTGCTCCCGTGCGCTTGCTGCGTTCGACCGACATCCGCGGCGGTTTGTTTTCGTTTTGGGTGCTGCTGGCACCGGCCCGGGGCGCGGGGAGCGGGGCGGGGGCGAGGCTCGCCGCGTGGGTACACGCGAACCCAACTCGACGCGACCGCTGGCCGCGCGGCGAGTCACGGCGCGGCGCCTGCCTGCCGCTTCCGTCGATTGAATG